GCAGCCAGTGATGGTGGGGGTGTCCTTCCATGCCCACCGCTAGCCGGTCCATTTCCTCAAAGCGTCCAGTTACCACCGTCAGTCGAGCGACCGTCGGTTGACCAAACTTTGCCGGAAACTAGTATGACTGCGCATTCCTACGAAACAGGTGCTTTCTTTTCTCCCCTTTTTTCCTATCTTTTCCCTTTGGGGGAGATTCGCCAATTAATACCAACATTTCACTTTTTGTGATCCGCACAGGCACGTACTCCGGTTATCGGGATCTCCCAGTCGCGCATGGCAACCGAACTGCTGCCGTTTATCCACCTCCCTACCCACAGGATTCTGCCTGTTATCCATCAGGAGAGTCCACAGATTCCTGGCGCTCCCTGCAGACTCATGGTCTTCACCCAAAGGATCCCGCTGCGGGTTTCCTCTCCAGCGCCTCCTTCTCATCTTCTCTTCCATCCGGGGACAACCGCCAACCAACGACACTGCTCTCAAAATTTCGGCGTACCGAAACTACGGGCAATAACAACAGGGTTACTGTGGAGGAACTACAGCATCAGTCTCAGTGTCTAAAAGCAGCTTACGCCTTACTTGCTGGGGAGGCTGGGGAAGAGGCAAATACCTCGGAGGATGAAGATGACGAAGACGAAGAGGAGGATGTTGACGAAGATTCCGACAGTGAGCACTTGGCTAGCGCGCCCCTCAACCGTCAGTTAACCACTACCACTGGCGTCGAGGCAAACCAATTGTCTGATTCTCCGCTCAAGTTATCGCCTCCTATGTCGGCCACCTCATAATATTGCAGCAGCGCCTTTTCTGTTCTTCCCTCCCCAGATGACCTCTTTTTCTTTCCATCCTTTGGTCGTGTAAATTAAGGTCTTGTGTAGTTGCCTGTTTACTGCATTTAGTGGCATTTGGCTGAAATCTGGCTCCCAGCACCCTTTTCTCCCTTACTACTGTTTTATCCCATTCCGCTGTTCGGGTCTTTTAAAGAGGCTCCAGTCAAAAGAGCTCCAACCTTTTAGCCGTTTGCATACTGTTCTTCCCCTGCCCTTTCGCTTTTTTGTCACCTCATCTGCGTATTGCGCTTGTGGCTCTTTCCCTCTTCGGTATGCACTTGCTGAGAGGACGAGGTCAATTTACCGCCATCTTGTTGATCTCCAGTGCCTTCTCTTTTTCACTCACCCTTCCTTAATGTCCTCTTTTGTACCCATGTTCTTGGCTGACCCAATTTTCTTTTCGCCTTTTCACTCCCCGTCCCCCAAATCCCTCTCTGGTTCTGTGCATTCCAGGCTTCGTTGATCTCGGTCCTTGCGAGTGCCTCTAAAACTTCCATTTTTCGCTGCTTGGTTGCAACACTCGTGTGTCTTGACCTGTCCGTAGCGAAGTCTATGTATTTCCACTAATATCTTGAAGGTCCAGATAATAGACAATATTGCCGTTTATCAGCTTCTTTCTGCCTTCAAAACGATGGCTTATCGACCTTTTGCCGCAGCCAGTAAACGATTTCGAATATTTAACCGTGACTACTTGGTGAGTCGTTGGTGTTGAAGGACTGGTCCGAGTAATTGTTCCACTAAGTATATGTACTGTATATTTTCATGGCGACTGTTGCCATCCATTAAATGAATGGTACAAGACTCCCCACTCGGATTCAGTTAATCTTCAGTGCGGCAATGACTGGCTGGGGCCGATATCGACGTCGAGCCCTTTAGCAGTGTTTCTTTTTCTTGCCCCAAAACTGCTTCTCCTGTACGATAGCATGTGCGCGTACTTTGTGGGGGGGGGTTTTATTTGACCTCTGGTGGCGAGTACAAGAACACAGTCCATTGACGTTTCGATGGTAGTCAATCCACGCGAATTGGATTGCAGGACTATATCAGTTCGTCCGTCGCAAACGTCGATATTTGCAGTGATCGGCTCATGAAGGCGACTTGCGCGTGAATTAGTTTAGGCTGGTAGCAGACTTGCACGGTGTCTGCCGCACCCTCTCCTCCCAAACCCTTCTGAGCACGGTGGCAAGTCTATGTCCGGACGACCAAAGACGGGATTGGGCCCGATGGCTGACAAAGTTAAACAGCCAGCTTGTGCCTTCTACATATGGGGGTCTAGGTTCCCATAGCAACAGAGGAGAGTTCCCATCTGAGAGGGAGCGTACTAAGAGCCACATTAAAAAGCCATGGCACTCTGACTGTCCTGAGTGCCGGGTTATCTCCATTTGGTAGCCTTCCCAGCCACGACCCTTAGGGATAATTTACTGGTCCGTGAGGTTATAACGAAGAAATTTACTGGTTGCCATTGATAATTAGACTATAGAACGGTTAACTATCTACTGGAAAACGTGTTGCACGAAGTATTCATATGGGTTCAAGAACAACTTGTCACAGAGGAACAAAACTGAACATAGTTTCCACTGGCAATCACTTGCAAGTCAGAAGGGGTGAAGGTCGAGCTCACGAAATGTGAGTAAATTCTGCTGGGATGCAGGGCTGATTCGCCGCCTAAAACGTGAATGTAGGCCGCGAATTTCACTTCGCAGACGCGAATAGAGTGGCGTTACCGATGACTATTGGTGACGCTGCTGTGGCCATTCCTGTCTTGTTAACTTTCATTGGCACTGATACCCCGACCTCCTCATCAGGATTCGCGCTCTCATTGCTGAATGGTGGGGTCTCGTTACGGGCTAAGGAAATATTTAGTGAGAAACTTAAAATCGCTTACCTGTCACTGTTTCACCATTTATAGTGACCGACTAGCCCGGAAGCATACTGACCGTTCCAGCAATCTGCGTCTTTTGCTATTTTCAAAACGTACTACTATATGATTGTAAGTAGCCTATAATTGTCAATGTGGACTTATTCTTTGCTGCGTTGTAACGCGCCTGGATTGTGATTCTCCTATTAACTTATTCATTCGTTACCGCGTTTGAACTGTCTGTAGTAAGTAATATGCTTAGTGTATCAATCTAAAAGGAAGTCTTTAGCGCTCCTTTACCTGTAGCAGGGAACAGAGTACTGCAGTG